TGAGAAGTGTCTGTTCATGTTTTTTGCCCATTTTTAATGGGGTTATCTGTTTTTTGCTTGTTGAATTAAGTTCCTTACAGATTTTGGATATTACAACTTGTCAGATGCACAGTTTGCAAATCGTTTCTCCCATTTCATAGGCTGCTTACTCTGCTGATTGTTTCCTTTTCCTGGGCAGAAGCTCTTTAGTTTAATTAGATCCCACTTGTCAATTTTTGTTTTCATTGCAATTGCTTTTGGAGACTTAGGCATAAATTCTTTGCCAAGGCCAATGTCCAGAAGGGCATTTCCTAGTTTTTCTTATAAAATTTTAATTGTTTTAAGTTGTACATTTAAGTCTTAATCCATCTTGAGTTAATTTTTGTATACAATGAGAAGTAGGTGTCCAGTTTCATTCTTCTGCATATGGCTAACCAGTTATCCCAGCACCTAGAAACCCCCATAGTTAACTTTGTCAAAGATCAGATTGTTGTAGATGTGCAGCTTTATTTCTGGGTTCTCCACCCTACTTCATTGGTCAAAGTGCCTGTTTTGTATCAGTACAATGCTGTTTTGATTATAGTAGCTTTGTAGTATAGTTTAAAGTTGGGTAGTGTGAATGCCTCCAGCTTTGTTCTTTTTGCTTAGAGTTGCTTTGTCTATTTGGGATCTTTTTTGGTGACATATGAATTACAGAATAGATTTTCTAATTCTGTAAAAAAGAGACATTAGTAATTTGACAGGAATAGCATTGAGTCTGTATATTGCTTTGGGCAGTATGGCCATTTAATGATAATTCTTCCAGTCCATGAGCATGGGAACTTTTCTATATGTATTATCTATGATTTCTTACAGCAACATTTTGTAGTTCTTTTTGTGGAGATCTTTTACATCTTTGGTTAGATATATTTCCAGGTATGTGTGTGTGTGTGTCTGTTATAAATGGGATTGTATTCTTAATTTGGGTCTCAGGTTGAACGTTCCTGGGGTGTAGAAATGCCACTGATTTTTGTATATTTATTTTTGTATCCTGAATCTTTACTGAAGTTGTTTATCACTTCTAGAAGACTTTGGGAGAGACTAGGGGTCATCTAGGCATAGATGATATCACCAGAAAGGAGGAACATTTTGAATTCCTTTCCCACTTGGGTGTTCTTTTCTTTCTTTCTCTTGCCTGATTTCTCTGACTAGGACTTCCAGTACTATGTTCAATAGAAGTGGTGAGAGGAGACTCCTTGTCTTGTTCCAGTTCTTAAATGGAATGTGTTCAGCTTTTCCCTATTCAGTATGATGTTGGTTGTGGGTTTGTCATGAACAGGTCTTACTATTCTGAGGTATGTTCCTTTGATGCCTGGTCAACTGAAGTTTTTTGTGTGTGTTTTTTGGAGATAGAGTCTTGCTCTGTTGCCCAGGCTGGAGTGCAGTAGTGCAATCTCAGCTTACTGCAACCTCTACCTACCGGTTTCAAGCAATTCTCCTGCCTCAGCCTCCTATCTGGGATTACAGGCATGTGCCACCACACCTGGATAATTCTTTGTGTTTTTAGTAGAGATGGGGTTTCACCACGTTAGCCAGGATGGTCTCCATCTCATGACCTCGTGATCTGCCCACCTCGGCCTCCCAAAGTGCTGGGATTACAGGCATGAACCACCACACCCAGCCTATTGAAGGTTTCTATCATGAAGGAATGTTAGATTTTATTAAAAGATTTTTACATGTTTACTGAAAGGGTCACATGGTTGTTTTTAATTCTGTTTATGTGGTGAATTACATTTATTGATTTGCATATGTTGAACCAGCTTTGCATCCCAGGAACAAAACTTACTTTATCATTGCAAATGAACATTTAGACATGCTGCTGAATTCTATTTGCAAGTATTTTGTTAAAGATCTTTGCATCTATATTCGTCAGACATATTGACCTGTAGTTTCCTTTTGTTGTGTCTTTGCTAGATTTGATATCTGAGTGATGCTTGCTTCATAGAATGAGTTAAGGAGAAGGCCCTCCTTTTCTACTTTTTTGAGTAATTTCGGTAGGATTGGTACCAGCTCTTCTTTATATATCTAAGAGAATTCATCTGCAAATCCATCTGGTCCAGGGCTGTTTTTGATTGGTAGGTTTTTTTGTTACTGACTCAATTTCAGAACTCAATATTGGTCTGTTCCAGGTTTTATCTTCCTGACTCAGACTTAGGAGGCTGTTTGTTTTCAGGAATTTACCCATTTCCTCTATATTTTTAGTTTTTAGAGGTATTTATAATAGTCTCTGAGAATCTTTTTTATTTCTGTAGAATCAATTATAATGTCACCTTTTTTTGTTTCCAATTGTGCTTATTTGAATCTCCTTTTTTTCTTTGTAAATCTAGATAGCAATCTCTCAGTCTTATTTATCCTTTCAAAAAACTAGCTTTTGTTTTTGTCGATTCTTTGTATCGATTTTTGTGTCTCAATTTTAGTCAATTCTACCCTGATTTTAGTTTTTCTTTTCTTCTGCTAGCTTTGGGGTTAGTTTGTTCTTGGTTTTCTAGTTCCTCCAGGTACAATGTTGCATTGTTAATTTGAGATCTTTCTAACTTCCTGAGGTAGGTGTTATCACTATAAACTTTCCTCTTAACACTGCTTTAGCTGCATCCCAGATATTCTGGTATGCTGTGTCTCTGTTTTCATTTATTCCAAATAGTTCTTAAATTTCGGCTTTAATTTCATTGTTTACCCAAAAGTCATTCAAGAGCAAGTTGTTTAATTTCTATGTAACTGTGTGATTTTAAGAGATCTTCTTGGTGTTTACTTGCATTTTTATTCCACTGTGGTCTGAATTTATAATTGATATGATTTCAGAGACTTGCTTTATGACTGAGCATGTGAACAATGACCTTAGATCTGGTGACTACATGCCTTAGTGATATATATATATATATATAAAATTTTGAGATGGAGTCTCACTCTGTAGCCCAGGCTGGAGTACAGTAGCACAATCATGGCTCACTGCAACCTCCACCTCCCTGGTCCCGATTCAAGCAATTCTCCTGCCTCAGTCTCCCAAGTAGCCGGGATTACAGGCATGAGCCACCATGCCCAGCTTATTTTTGTATTTTTTAGAAGAAATGGGGTTTCACCTTGTTGGCCAGTCTGGTCTTGAACTCCTGACCTCGTGGTCTGTCTGCCTCGGCCTCCCAAAGCGCTGGGATTACAGACATGAGCCACGGCGCCCAGGGGGGAATTTTTTTTAATGTAATATTTTATGACATAAAAGTAACATGAAATTTGTATTTCATTGCCCATAAATAAAGTTCTATTGATACACGGTCATTTGTTTACATATGGTCTGTGCTGCTTTTGTTCTCTAAAGGCAGAGTTTAGTAGTTGCAGCAGAGATGGTACAGCCCACAAAGCCTAAAATACTCTCTGACCTTTAACAAAGTTTGTCAACTCAAACAGAACAACATCCTTGACAACTCAACTCCAGACTTTTTGTTGTGTGAGAAAAAGAAACTCTTTGCTTACATAATCCACTATTTTTCAGGCTTTATGTCACTTCCAGCCAAAGGCAGTCTCATTGGTGCACAGCTAAATGAGATTTGATGAACTGGAAGAACCAAGGGGCAGTGTAATGAGGACAGTGTCTAGAGGACATTCTGCAGCTGTCAGGACATCTAATTTATTTCCCTGTAAGTTCCCAGGAACTTTATAGCTTTTGTTGGAATAGACTTTGTCTATAAAACTGGAGAGGAGGGAAGAAATGAAAACTTTAATAAATGAATCTTTATAGGACTCAGCAGACAAGTAGGTGTACAAAGCAGAGAAGAAGGTGCAGTAAAATAATACCTTAGCCGGGCACAGTGGCTCACGCCTGTAATCCCAACACTTTGGGATTACTTGCTGAGGCAAGTGGATCATCTGAGGTCAGGAGTTCGAGACCAGCCTAACCAACATGATGAAACATTGTCTCTACTAAAAATACAAAAATTAGTCAGGCATGCTGGCAGGCATTTGTAATCCCAGCTACTTGGGAGGCTGAGGCATGAGAATCGATGAACACGGGAGGCAGAGGTTGCAGTGAGCAGAGATCATGCCACTGTACTCCAGCCTGGGCAACAGAGTGGGACTCCATCTCAAAAATAAAAAAATTAAAAACAAAAAAATAATAATACAACTCAGTGTATTAGTTATCTATTGCTGTGGAAGAAATACTCATAAGCAACCACACTTTCATCTCACATATCCTGTGATTCAGGAAGCTGGCATGTTTTAGGACTTGCATTTGCTGAATCACAGTGACAGCAGATTGTAGCCATTTCAAGGCTCAACAGGAAAAGAAGCCACTTCCATGCTCGCTCACAAGGTTGGTGACAGAATTCAGTTATCTGCAAGCTGTTGGGCTGAGAGCCTCTGTTCCTTACAGCTGTCAGCCAGAGGCTGCCCTCAGCTCCTTGCCACATGGCCTCTCTGTAGGGCAGCTGGCAATGTGGCACTGGCTTCACCAGAGTGGGCAAGAGAGGATACAAAGAGGAGCGTGACCTAGACAGAAGTCACAGTCTTGTACAACATCATCCAGAAATAACATCCCAGCACTGCTGCCATATTCTGTTCATTAAAAATGAGTCAGTAAAACCAGCCCAACTTGAGGGGAAGAGATTAAGCAAAGGTGTGGGTACCAGGACGTAGGGTCATCAGACACCTGTGAGAAACTTCCTACTACACCCAAAAAAGTCTTCAAATTCATGGATTATTTTCACTTGGATTACTTTTGCTGTTAATCTTGGGACCCGTTCTGAAAAGCAAAGGAAGTGGACTCAGGCCCACAGTGGAATCTTTCGAATGTCATCCCTGTGTAAAGATTTGTGCCCTAAATAGAAGGAGGTTCCTGCTCCCACTTCGCTCCAACCGACATGTAACCATCTCCACACTTTCTGCTCTTGTCTTGGGAGGCCCTTATGTTAGCCAAACCACAAGAGAACAATTCTAACCCTGTCACCTAGAATCTAGCTATTTTGGGAAAAGTGTTTCACTTGGATAGTTACCCTTTATCTTTTGTCTTAAAAGTGTTTGTTGCTTTTCCCACGACGTGAGTTCAGAAATGCAGGCTGGCTCACTCATGAGTACCTACCTGCAGGCAAAGGCAAACAAGGCTCCCTTGGCTTAGATCTTCTTGACTTTCCTCCTTAGCCTTCCTCCTCCAAAAGAGGGCTCCCTCACCTCACATTCCCTTCTCCCCAAGGGAAGTGCTTTCTGAAACAAAGAAGCCCTTGCCCCGCCCTAAGACGGCTCAAGTGGCCACTTCTGACCAAACAGGCTTGAAGTCAATGCTACAACTAAGCACGGAGGGTCTGCGAATTAGACTTTTTAGCATGTGCAGCGCTGCTTTGATTTCGGCAAACAACAGCCCTCATCCAAATACCCCTCCACCCCACCCCACCCCACCCCCACCCCCACCCTCACCCCCCCACCCCCCGGCCATCTTCTTCCAAGCGGACACTTCAGTTTCCCTTTGCTGAGACAAACGAAAGAGTTAATCAAACTCCTGAAATAAGTCCTAGGGAGATGGAATCATGGCATCTGCCCTGTCTATTTTGCAAATTTAAAAACACTGGGCTTCCAAAGAGCTGATACTTGAGGGTCTTTTAAATGCCTAGAATACTAACCGGCCTGGAGGTTTTCCGTCCTTAGGCTAAAACAGCCAAAAGAAGAAAAATGTGTAAAATACTTTGTTTTCACCTTTTGGACAGATCCCTTTTTTATTTAAAAAGCAATAAATCAACAGATTCACAAAGGAAAATATGCATAAATTTATACATACCCAATAATTACACTCAGTTGTTTGCAGAGCTTTTCACTTAATTCATCTTTTTCTTTTCTTTAAATGCAACACAGTGGGAGTCCTTTCCTGCCTGGCCATTCAGAAGCAGGTCACAGGGGCAGCCACTAGGAGACCAGCTGGCATGAGGATGCCACTGCCCCTGGGAAAAACAGAAACAGTGAAAAAGATTTTGAGGACTGATGGGATTAAGTCTTTCAGGAGGGCAATAATGCAGACACAGATTTTACCCCCAGATCTCTAGAAGAGGTAACCCAGGAGGGCAGAGGGCTTGCTCCCAGGTAAGGCGAGCATTGAGTTTCCTGCCACTCATCCTCAGGTATGGGTTTATGATCAGCAAAGACAGAGGCTTAATATGAAAGTGAAGGAGGCCAGCCAGCTGTCTTCTGCAAGAAAGGAAGGAAAGGTCTATTTAAAATAAAATCACAAAATAAACAAATCAAAGACTGAATGTACAAATGCACAATGACTGGACCATATAATAAGAATAGAACTATCACCCTAAATCTGTAGCAGCCTGCCTAGGAAACCAAGCCCCTCATTTTTAATAAACAGCCCAGGAAGACAGCCTGCTAAAGCCAGACTTGCAGGAAGCCAGTCTGCTATCTCTAGTGATAACCCAGGAAGCTAAACAGTAACCTCAGTAACAAAAGACCCAAAATGTTCAGGACTTGATTAATAACTATTAGTCAGGATCCACCAAAGAAACAGAACCAATAGGATGTGTGTGTGCATATACACATATATATTACATATGTATTACATATATATGTATACCTGTACATACATACTTATATGTGGAAATTTATTGTGGAAATCGACCCATGCCTTTATGCCAGCTGAGTAGTTTCATGATATGCCATCTGCAACCTGGGGAACCAGAAAAGCTGGTCGTGATGGTTGTATAATTCAGTCCAAAGCTGAAGGCCTAAGAACTAGGGGAGACTTCCCCACCTGCCAGCTGCTGAAGTAAGTCCTGGAGTCCAAAAGCCTGAGAACCAGAAGCTCTGATGTTTAAGGGCAGGAAAAGATGAATGTCTCAGAACAAAGACCTTCTGTGCCCTTTCATTATATTTGGGCCATCAAGGAATCAGATGACACCCACATGGGTGAGAGTGATCTTCTCTACTCAGTCTTCTCATTCAAATGCTAATCTCTTCCAGAAAAAACCCTCACAGACACACCCAGAAATAATATTTTACAAGCTATCTGGGAACCTCTTAGCCCAGTCAAGTTGACACAAAAAATTAGCAATCACAGTAACTGACAGTCTCTCTAATTTTTGTGCCTGCTTCTAATGTGACCAGCCGGAGAAAACCAACTATGGCCCCAACCAATAGGCTTCCGTGCTCCTGATTGGCTACCCCAGGCTTCCCCAGGCCAACAGCTTCCAATCAGGGCACACATGAAGCCATCCCTTTGTCTGCTGTAAAGCTCTCCCACTCCCTTACCTACCTTTGAGTCTCTGCCAAATCAAAGTGATGGTGGCCAACTCCCTTGCTACAGCAAGCTCTGAATAAATCGCCTTTGCTTTTCTCATGTGAGTGGTATTTAATTTTTTCCACACAAGCAACCTAAAAGAACTAAGGTATATTTCAGGAGTCTAGTTTTTTAAATCTCCAGGGCGATACCTTGGATACAAAACAATGTCACTGTCACTGTCAATATAATCCATCCTTTCTGTGTCCCCCAAGCCTGAGGCAGCCTCAGAAGGAAACCAAAATCAATTTAGCTCCATGAGTTCAAGTGCTGATTCCTCACCTCGAGTTAGTCTCAAGCGCTCCACGTGATGTTGGCAAGTCTAGCTTCTCTGGTAACAATTACTTTGAAGCTCTGAACATTAATTTACATGGTGTATGTACTTTATTCATTTATCCTTGTTTTCATGTGTTTCTTTAGTATATTCTTGTAAGTTTATTTTCCTCTTCAGTTAGAGAGCCTGTCAACCTTTACCTACGCCTATCATCCCTACCCAATATCCTTAAAAGTGGTTTGCAGATGGAAGCCTTCTGATCACTAATGTTAACTTTCAGAAATCTCGTGCCTTACAAAGACTTGAAATAAATGACTCTTGCAAATATTAATACATAGACCTTTGTTTAACAAAGGTGAATCTAAAATTGCTTCCCACCATGAATCAAATATAATTTTACTACAGATTAAATATAGGCATATACTGGTTCGATGTTTTAGGTAAGGAAGAACTAGCTAAAGATATAACAGATAAAATGCTAAATCTCAGTGGCTTCAGAGAATAGATGTACATTTTGTTCACAAACAGGTTATTCCCTATCAGAGGGCAGATCTCCAGTGACTCGGGGACCCAGGCTCCTTCTGTGTTACAGCTTTGTCATCTCCAATGCCAGATTCCTCAGGTTACTACACTTGTCTGCTTCAAGCCAGAGGGGAAAGACCACGGGGGGTCATACTGTGAAGTTTTTATGAGCCAAGCCAAGAAGTGTGAACACAACTCTTAGCACAATCCATCAGGCAGATTTCAGTCAGATGGTCACACCTCACCACAAGGGGGCTGGAAAACGATCTAACTCTGGGGTTAGAGGGAAGAGAAAGTAACTTTGGTTAAGAGCTAACCAGTTTCTTCCACACTTATCAAGGAAAAAAAAAAATCTCTGCTGTGAAGACCTCCTTACAAATAACACTCCCCTAACCCAAATGACTGGCTTAGTCACTGGAAAATGTGCACAGGCTAAGCTCTAAATTAGATTCTTCATACATCAAAGGGTACAGCAAAGCTCCTGACAGCCCCTGCTTCTCAAACATGAAGGACAACTAACAAGGACAACAGCACAACAGAAAGTCCTGCCACTTCTCTCTGCCTTTTTAAGAGAGTGCTGTACTTTAATTTTATTGCTTCTAGAAGCATTGCAGCTTTTCATGAGCCAGTGAACTAGCTAATTGGCTACAGCAAGGACTGTGTCTTGGAAGGTGGCACTTAACCAAACAAATATGAAGAAACTGATTCTCTGGAGTCTGAGCTTTCAAGGATGAAGGGTATATCATGGGTCAACATGATACAGAGGAAATGATGTCTTAGAAAGGGACAAACTCTGGGAATGCTTAGATTTGTCTCACATTGAGAGTCATTAAAACCATAAGCTCCTATATAACTGATTTTTTTGGCTGCAATTAAAATATAAAGAGCTGGTTTCTTTGTTTGATGTTGTGTGTCTGGCCTCTTCTCCCATTTATATATATACAGACTAAGCAAAACTGACAAAAAAAGTAATCGAGATTTTGGTTCTAATGCAGATCTTGATTTATTCTGACTTATTCACAGCGTCTAGTAAAATGATCCCTGCCTTCCTACAGAAATGAGATGTCAAGATGCAAAAAGTGCTGCCTCCCCTCAACAAGCAGCCACAGCCTGTCCCACAACCATCTCGCACGGGCGTCCCTCAAGGGCAGTAGAGATCTCAGCCCCTTCATCAGACTGACACCTGCCAACTTTTATCTCCATTTGTGCAGGAATCAAAGTTGAAGGCCATGCTGAACTTGAGTTTTTCCTGAAGTTCAGCAGAAAAGTAAGATCTGCTTGCAGGTGATTCTTGCAGAACTGTAAGTCACAGACTATAAATAGTGCAGCAATTTTTTAAAGAGAAAATGAACAAGATATGTGAGCATGGCTCAGATATCCCCATCTGCTTTCAACTGTAGTTGGCGACAAATCAGCTCTCAATTTTCTGCTCGTTGTGTTTTCTAACACAGCTTCCCCGGCGTCTGCCAACGACCAAAATGTACAGCAACCCTAGGTACGTCATCTCGCACCACCTCTTTCCCCTTCCCAGACCACAGAACATTCCAGTTGAATTGCAACATGATTAGGGCAGATGCTAACGTATTTATAATCTCTTTTAAAAGTATGCATATGTTGTCTTTGTCTTGCATTCATCTCCTATTATTTGCTATCACGTATTGCCAGTGCCTCGTCTCTCCTCCATTAACACTGACAAATTGCAGTTGATTATAGTTTAGTTCCTTTTCTCACGGGTTAAACGCAACGAAATGAGCAGAAAAGCAGCAAACAAGGCCTCAGGGTGGCATCAACATCCTATAATAGCTTATTTTAACCTCCAATATTTTCACAGATGATTCTGCCTGAAATTCTCCAATTTTGGGTAATGATGCTGAAAGCGTGTAATATGAGAATGTGGATTATAAGAAAACAGTGGATGATGATGATGATGATGTTGACAGAAGGGTTAAGTGTGGATAAAAAAAACCAGCTCTGCATGAAAGGCTGGTCAGGGCTAATGACCCAAGAGCTAAGATGAATCTTGATTCAGTGCTTCTGTTAGTAAAAAGAATGTGTTTGAAGCTTACCTTTTACAAAATAAACAGAGCATATGTGACAGTGTATCTGGAAATGAGAGACCTGGCACCTAATTTAAGAAAACCATTCTATCCACAGGTCTCTGGTGGCACAGGGATCTTGGAGTCATCAACCTTTGTAGAACCCTTTTTTTGGCACTGGAATATTAGACCTACTACCTTGGACCTCTTGAAGCTAATGGGATGTCCAGATGTAACTCTGTATCTACATAACACTGAGGACTGCTATACAACTGCTTTGGAACATGAGGGGCTCATCTCTGTATTGAAAAAAAAATTTTTACCCCAAGCTTTTGTTTCCTAAGGCACTTTTTGCTGACAAATTATGGCCACAATGACATGCACACTCTGAAATAGGGGGAGTAGACAATTAAAATTTACAAAAGACCTAAAGTCTACACCAGGTGCCACAGAAAGTGCTGCCTGGCATCTCTCCCCTCCCCTGCAGAGACAGAGCATGTTACCCACTGACCTCAACCCTTAATCCCTTGAACCCTCTCTAAGTCTCCAATTTTACATGTCCCACTTTACTTCAGTGAATTCCTGCCAAACAGCTTTGGAGACTGTACGGGGTTATCATGTACAGGTCCTTCACAACACCCTGACGCCTCACCCCTTAGAGCTTTCCGTATGCCCAGTGCTGTCTGAGCAACCCTCCTGACTACTTTCCTTTGGTTTCGCCCTGAACTCCAAAGCGCTGCACCATAAAACCACAATGCTTTTGTGGTTTTATGCAAAACCTAGCCATTCATGCCAAACTTTCATTCCTCTCTTGTCTCACAGGTATGTCCT